GACTACTTAAATAGGCAATTAAAAGTTGTACGTGTGACTAGTTGTACTCTCGTGATACTGATAAAATATGTAAAGCCAGTGTTAAAATTAATATTGGCCTACTGCTTGTACTAATAAAGTGCCAAGGGCCTAAGTGGTCACCTTAATATTAAAAAAAAAAAAAATACAAAAATTCAAAAGAGAAAGAATAAATAAATTAAATAAAGTTGATATTAATTATTTATATTGGTTCAAATATTTATTAAATAAATCAAAAAATTAAATATTTTAGATATTTTCTGGATTACAGATACCATATCTAATTCACAACTTCAAAAAAATAGTCCAATATTAAAAAAAATAGCAAAAATATATTTAGAAAAATTATATGAATGTCATTGGCATCATGATGAGTGTATAATGACTATTTTACAAAGTATTGATTCTGAAATAAATTGCGAAATATTTACAAATAAAGGTTTATATTATAAATTATTCAATGATAAAAATTTTATTCAAGAAGTGAATCCTTCATTAAATGCAAAATCTGAAATATTTTGTAATTTAAATAATCAAAAAGAAGAATTAAAAGATATATGCAATATAAAATTCTTAATTGAAGATATAAAAGATACAAATAACTTGGAAGAATTCTTAACAAACGGAAAATACAAACCTTATTTTTGGAATGATTTAGAAATACTAGAAGAAGAAAAAAATCTTATTAAAAATCACTGAATCGAAAAAATGCAAAGAAATAAACAAAATTTATTTGAAAAAAATATTAATTGGTTAGAATATATAAAAAAGGAATTAATAAAATTAATACCTGAAAAGGAAATAAATATAAGATATGGATTATTTAGAGAAAAGTATAATCAAAAAATTCAAGCCAGAATTGATCGCAATAAAAATAATATAGATCCATTAGGACACTTAATCTTAATATTACCAATTAAAGAAAATATTAAAAAAGAATTAATCGAAATTTTAAAAAAAATTATTAATGGTGAAGAAGTTAAACAAGAAGATATTGAAAAGATTGGTACTATTAAATTAGATGTTCCAATAAAATTACCAACTATAAAACCTCCTGAAGAATCTAAAGAATTAAGTAAAACTGAAAGCAAGTTAAAGGAAGAAATCGAAGCATTAAAAAAAGAAATAAAAAATACTGAAAATGAAAAATTAAAAACAAAAGATATTGATAAAATTATTAATCTGATTGAAAAGGTATCAAAAGATAAGCTACTTTCAACTTCATTAGAACAAAGTTTAAAAGATATTGATTGGTTAAAAAATAAATTAAATAACATTGTATTTAACAAAGAAGAATTAGATGAGATAATTAAAGAATTTTCTACCAAAGCTTGTAGTAAAGATAGAATAGAATACCTTTACTTTAATATTTTGGTAATAAAGAATCAGTAAATAACTTGATCGAAGAATTCAAAAAGAAAAATGCTATTCTAGCATTAGATAATGAAAATTCTATAATAAACAAAAATATTCAAGAATTAAAGAGAGAACTTGATAAATCTGAAATTACTGAAAATGAGAAAAATAAAATAAATACATTAATTGATAAATTCGATAGAAAAATTAAGAATAACAAGATTGAAAAAAATATAATTGAAGGAAAAAAAATTGAACCAGATATAATTGAACCACCTGAATTTCTAAGTTTGAATAAAGAAGAAGAAAAAAGAGTAAGGGAAATTAAAGAACAAATCCAAAAATCAAGATCATTTAAAGAACTTGAAGATAAAGAAAAACTTGATCTGAAAATTGATTATATGTGGTAAAAATATAGAACTCTGAACAGAACTTGATACACTTCGTCGAAAGAGAAGAGATTACATTAAAACATATGAACAATTATTAAAAGAAATAAATAATCCCAAAGTAAAAGCTGAAGGTTTAAAACATAATGAAGATATTATATTAAAAAAAATTAATAATTTGAAAAATACAGAACTCGCAAAGGATTTATTTGAAGAATTACATGAAAAATACAATACTCAATACATTAAATTAATCGCAAACAACACAGAAGAATTAGCTAATGAGTTAAAAAGACAAATCGATGAAGAAAAAAGCTCAAAAAATATTGAAAACATCAAAGGTAAAATTGATAAATTAAAAGAAATTAATATAGAATTGGGAGAAAATATTGAAAAATTACGTGAAGAAAATTAGCAAGACTAAAATTATATGAAAAAATTTTAGAAGATATTAATAAAAAAACTGATATTGAAAAAATAGATGATAATAAAGATATAGATAATGAAATTAAAAAATTAAAACAAGAAGATTCTAATTATCCAGAAAATCTACTTAATTGCCTAACAAAAGAAAGAAATAACAAAAAAAAAAAATTTTAGAAACGATTAAATATGACACACTTGAAGAAAATATCAATGGTTTATATAAACATCTACAAAGTTTATTGGATGCTGTTTTATTAGATAATGTCAAGAAATTAAATAATGATAAATTATTAAACAACAAACAAAAAGAACTCTTGGAAAGTTTATTCAATAAAAAACTTTCTGAATTAAATAAGAAGGTCATGAATGAAGAAAAAGAAAAATATACAAAGATTGAAAAAATGATAAATAAATGTGAAGATCCTGTATTGTTAGATACCGAAATGTTTAATGAAATTTACAGATTGATAAGTAGTCTTGATGAAAAAATCATAGGTCACGGAAGTAAAGATAAATTAAACTATTTAAGAAAGACAAAAAGAACAGAATTAGTTAAAAAGATTAAACAAGAATTAGAAATTGAATAAAAATGACTTCATTAAAAAAAATATGGGAAAAATTTCTAACTGAAAATAATATAACAGATGACGAATTAAAAAATCAATGAATATACAAATCAGGATTAACAGTCGATGAAGCAAAAATCTCTGTTAAAAATGGTTGGGTAATTAATGATGAAATAAAGATTATTAACAAAAAAGTAAATTATAAAAAATTTCCAAATATAAATATCTTAAAGGTAAATAAAGAATTATTTGACAACACATGTACTATTTTAGATGAGATATTAGATTCAAATAAAAAAACTTTTATTAGTTTACCAGAAAATTTTAAAAAGGAAGAAATAGAAAAATTAAATAATGATTTGTTACCCAATGGTTTAAAAAGTAATGATCTTATAAAAGCTATTAAGCAAAACGTAATCTATTTTTTTATGTGTTAAATATCAAAACTAATGAATTTGAAAATGATAGTTTATCACAAGATAAAATAGATAAAGTTATTAAAAAAATAAATGAAAAAAATAAATGGAAATTTGATAATTGGAATAATAAATACAATGCAGAATTTCTTAATAAATTTTTAAGTGAATTTTTAAAACAAAAAGGTAATGAAAATTTGGTCGAAAAAGATCTCACAAACTGGTTAACAGGAAAAGAAATTGATCCATCATCAAATATCAAAGAACCATTGAAAGGATATACAATAGATACAAAACCTAAAATAAAATTTAAAGTTGCAAAAATTATTAAAAAAAATCCTAATAAGACACCTAGTGATTTTTTAAAAGAAAGATTAATAAAAATAAAAATACCAGATAAAATTTCAGAACAAATAAAAAATGAATATAATAAAATATACGTAGAATCAAAAGAAAAATTTAAATTATTACCAGATGATTGGTTAGCTGAAAAACTTTTCACTATTGATTTAAAATTTTTAACTGAAGATTATAATAATAAAAATGAATTTATTGCTGAATTTATCAGATATGAATTTGATGAAGATAATAATGATAGTTTTAAAAGTATTCTCAAACAAAATTATGAATTTTCAGGCAAAAGTGAATCTATTGAAAAAACAGGACAAGAAGTCAAAAAGGAAGAATTAAATTTATCAAGAAGCATGTCTGAAACATATAAATTACCATATGTATTTTCATTAATAAATTTTTTTCCTATTTTATTACTGCAATCGGTAGAAGATTTTGAATGATTAAAAAAACATTTTCCTAATTTAACTAATGACCATATTAAAAATTTAGAAAAATCTTTTAATGATGATTTTTTCAAATTAGAAAATGATGCTTTTATCAAAGAAACCAATGAACCAATGAAATAGTTAGAAATAGAATTAAATAAATATATTAAAGTAGAATTTCTAGAAGAACAAAAAACTAAAGCACCAAAACCTAATGATAAAGATGCAGAAAAAATAAAAAAAACAAATCAAAAAAGAAAAAGAACTAATTAAAATTACTAAAGAAATTTCAGAGAAATCTATAATCTAGATAGATTTGCTAAAAATAAATCTGAAACCAAAAAAATACAAACTAAAGATCCAAATAATCCAAAAAAATCAATAATAAAAGAAGAAACTATATATATAGTAGATCTAGAAAGACCTGGCATCACATCAATTTTTACCAGATTAGGAAAAACTACAAAACTAATAAAATGTTTATTATCGTGTATATTTAAAGAAAAACATATCATTCTTATAACTCCAAATAAACATTTAAAAAATGACGCATATGTTTACTATGATTCTTTAAATGGTTGGTCAACTAGACCAGATTATAAATGTATTATACATGGAAATGAAGGTTATTCTTATTTTACCACAAAAGGAAATCTTTCATCTTGGATAGATAGTAATACTAATGAAAGAAAATGTGTACCAGAAGCTGAAGGGAAATCAACATTATCAATTTTGGAATTACACAAATTAATCAGATATATCGCATGTAAAAAAGTAAAAATGCAAGAATATAGCAAAGAAGAAACAGAAAAACTTAAAGGGTTACCTGAAAATTATTGGGATGATTATGAATATGATCATATTAAAAACAAATTAATTGATAAAGATAATACTGTTATAGTTATTGATGAAGCCAAAGCTCGTTTTCAAAGTACAATATATCAAACTATTCACCCACTTTTAATAAAAATGGATTATAAGGTAATCTTAATGAGTGCAATGTTTCCAAAAAGAGAATTTTCCATATCTACTACAAAACCAAGAAAAGTAATGTCTTTAACCAAATTTGCAAATCAAGCAAAATAGGAAAAAGAAAAAAATTTAATATATTTTAGAACTACATCAAACATATACAGAAGAACAAAAACTGAAGAAATAGATTATAGTAATCAAATTTTAATATCTGAATTAAAACCTGAAAAAACAAAATTATTAGAAGAAAGCAGAATTCCTTTTGTAGTATTTGATAATACCAATTCAGATGCAGTGAGTTCTATAACTAAAAATATGCCAAAGAGATTAATATTTCTTTTTAGTAGTAATTACTAAATAGGGATATTACCTTGGGCAAAAGTTCTTATTTCAACTGGAGAATCACAACAAGAACCTCTAGGTCATGAACTGAGTCTAGCAGAAAAATGGAGAAGAGAGGATTTAATAGTGAATTATATATCATTAGCAAATATGATTCAAGAAATCAGAAGGTAAATATTATCTAATTAATTGATAATCCACCAGTTAATCGGAGAATTTCTAATATTAAATATGACACAGATCACATATGAACAAGACTCGAATTGAAATTTTCGGTTATAAGCAAAGTCATAAAATTTATAATCAAATACGGTATTAAAGTAGTACAAACGATAGAATGAAACTATAAGCTTTCGATTATAACATTATTAAATATTAATATTTTTTGGGGAGAAACTTTACTTTGTATACACGCGGCATTTACTATGTTAAACCCTATATTAATTAAATATCGAGGTAGATTAGTAATACTTTATTCTTAAACTATTTTACAACAGATTTATAATATTTTTTTTAATATTTAAAGCGTATTATGCTTAAAATAACAATTAAAGCTAGATTTACAACTTGTTACTGTCCACGTTACATTCTACTCGTATTGTATATGATAAAATATAGATGATTTTTAAGGTTCGTATAATCTAAGTTTTTTTTTTTTTTTTTATTCATCGTTCTGGTATTGTCTAGGTGTAAAAAACGTTGCAAAAGCAACACACTGGGTCTTAAAGTAGTAATCTTGGATCAGAAGCACTGCGCAAGAATAATTACCTTTGCAAATACACTTTGTGAAAATGGTATATTGATTTTTTTAGATTCGAATATGTAAGTAATAACGGCTTTGAATTAAAAAAAGGAAGAGCACTAGCAAGTACTTTGTAAGAACTTTTTACTAAATTATTCAGAAATTAGAGGTTGGAAATGGAACGTTCAAGAGCCCAACCAGGTATGTCGAATAGATTGGTGTTATATATAAAAGAAATTAAGTTAGGATTTAAAAAGAAAACAAGCGTATAATATACATATATGTATCAATGGCTTATATTATCTGCAGATAGCTGAGGTTAGGGTTAGACTATCACGTTACAGTCAGAGAATAGGTTTGTATGAATAATAAATGCTTATTATTATACATTACTAGTTACTAAATTTAACTATACTACTTTACATAGAATTCTGGGTATGTAAAAAGACAACTTTAGAAGAGCTGCTAAAGGTGGTATGTACGTATGATATACTAATATCTAGTGGATTGTCAAAAAAATAATTACATGTTAGAGTTAGCATTTAGAAATAAAGTTCATTTAATAATAGTCTTATTTATTGAGGTTTGTATAGTGGTAACATTTTACAAAACAGTAGAACGTATTTATTACAGACTTTGGGTCTTTCAGAAGATAAAATTTATAGGTTATACTATATATTTTGATGTTTTAAATCAGGAGAAAAAAATATCAGTAGGCACACTTCATAAGAACACTATGCTGACTTTATTTTAGCAATATTTTATTTTATTAGGTTACTATGTTGACTTTGGAAGATCAAATCTAAAGTTCCAATTCGTCATCTGTTTATCCATAATTCAGATCGCTCAGATATCTGGATAATTTGACAGGTATTCAGATAATTATCCAGATATCAATAGTAAAATAGATATCTGAATAAATTCAGATCCAGATATCTGATAGATAAACAGATAATGAATCAGAACAATAATCAGTTTTAGCAAATGTATTTTGTAAGTATACAATGCTAACTTCTTTGATTCTCAGTTGTAATTATCGTGAATCATATAAAAAAATGAGCAATACTTCCAAGAATTGGGTTTTTAGTAATGATAAACTTTAATCAAAAAGTGAAAATTCATTTTTCAAGAATATCACACTAACTTCTTTAGATTAAATATCAGAAGCATTTTTATACTATATTTTAGGCCTACTTAATTAATCACTAATACTTATTGTTTTGGTGTTTTCATGTTAGAGATTTCGACTAGGCAAAAGCATTTTTTCGACAATTATTTGGTAATGAATATTGCAATAAAATTTGCATTGGGGCACGATTTGAATTATTTAAAAACTATGTTTTCACATATTACTTTATTCATGATTAAAACTCGTTATATTTATTTATTTTATTTGTAGTCTACCAGTAATGAATAATAAAAAAATAATTTTAAATACACAGTATAAAAAAAAAAGTAAAGGTGCCAAAAAAGTAAAACGTTAGTAAAATAAAATTCGAAAAATGTAAAATGTAAATATTTTATAACCACTTTAATAGTATAATCCAATATCAAATTGTCTAATAATTACGTTTTAGCTGATTCTAATACCATTAGAATACCCTTCTTGTATAGAGGTCTGATCCGATGAATAGTATATAATAAATATTCAAATGTTC